AGCACCTGCTCACCCAGGGAGTGATGTCTGAACTCAAGGGATCCTTCTTCAATTCTTCAGATGGTCACTGCTCAGTATGGTAACCACATGTCCAACAGGATAGCCACACATGGCAACTGAAGTGTGGTTAATCCAAGTTGAGACATGCTCTAAGTACATAATATGCACGGGGTTTCAAAAACTTAGTATGAAATAAAGCATGTAACTGTAACATTAATAACTTTTAGATTAATTACTTGTAATGATATTCTGGGTTACTTGGTTAAACATGTATTATTAAAATTAATTTCACCTGTTTCCTTTTGGTTTTTTAATGAGGTAACTAGAAAATGCAAAATTATATATGTGGCTCATGTTCAAGTTCTATTTAATTACTTGCATGACTTGATGTGACAGAGACAAGCACTGTCCAGAGAATTCTGCAAGTCCCTAGTCTCACTCCCCGGCTGGTCCCTCAGGGGCAAGTAAGGCTTGCAGCAAGTCCCACGTGCGTTAAGGCCCTGTCCCACTGTCCAAGAGCCAGCAGACTGTTCCCTATTGCCTCCTTAGGTGGCTTTCTGTTGAAGGATTCTCCTTTTCCTACATGTTATCCTTCCCGTTTCTAATCCAATTTGTCACCCCCCCCCAAGTTACATGTGAGCGAATAAATGAGCGCATGGTCTGTATGCACACGAACACTTGCGTATGGTAAGCCATAGGAAATGCGGTGGAACTGTGTGCTCCCCCCTCCCCGTGAAAAGGAAGAGCACTCTGCTAGCCTGGGGGTAGGGGATTCCCTCTCCTCCAGAGAGGAGACCTCAAAGTGAAATGCTCTCTCCCAAACCCTATGACAAAGGGCGCCAACCAGAGGCAATCTTGCCATGAAGAGGCTGTAGAAATGGAAATACTGAGAAACAAGAAGCCCCTTGGAGGAATCTAGGTACCAATTTTCAAAGGAAAGCTAAATAGTTCGGGGGGGGGGGGAGAGGGGAGGAAAAAAAAGGCAAGAAGCAGCCTGGAGGCCCTCACACAGGGTTTGGCAAAATCCACTTAAACCAATCTGAATCAGGGAAAGTTCACTGATCTGAAAACTGGAGCAGGTACTTGTACTAATGCAATAGGCTTTGGTAAGTGAAGTACGGCTGTCCCACTCAACAGCCGGCCCTGCTCACAGGAGTCACCAGGGCAGGGTTTCTCAGGGGTAATGGTAACTGCCTGCAAAGGAATGGATGATTCCAAGGCCTCACTCCTTCCTCCAAGTGTGATCCCTGGGCGAGAAACATCAGCGTCACTGGGAAGCTTGTCATGCCAATTCTTGGGTCCTACCTCAGACCCAAGTGAAAAAGATCCTGTTAAAATGCAATGAGATCCTTGTGTGATTCTTGTACACATTAAAGTCTGAGGAGTACCTGAAGTTTAACCTTCTGACTGTATTCATTTGCTTAACAACAGATTTTTGTAAATACAACAAGGGTAACCTTCCTTCTGAGTTAGAGTCTCTGGAATTTGTCCCATTGGGGATCTTTCTGTTTTTCATTGTCTTTGGGCTGTAGCTAATAATACAGAATGTGTTTTCATGTAAATCAGTGCTTCCAGGTGGTTCTTGGATGGGAGCCCTCTAGCAGGGTATGAAAAGCCAGCTATTTCTCTTATAAATTTCCAACATGAGTATTCCCTAAGGCAAATAGCTTCAGATTAAGGGATGCAAATAATTTTAGGTAAAATAGATGAGTACCTGTGCAACTATCACACTATCTCCATGTCCCAGGTACATGAAAATAAGGGGGAAACGGCCAAAATCAACTTTGTTTTCAAATGTTACACCCTAACACGTGAAAAGGGAATCACACCAAAACTTTTGTGAGGAAAACAAATTAACCCACATACCTTTCATATTACTTAGAATTCTTCTACTACCAAAAAAGTCCTGATATATAAAAAACACCCCCATTATCCCTTAATTGTTTTCATATCCTGCCAAGAGGTTATGTTACCACAGTGACTATCTGATAAATCTCACTCCATTTACTTCAACCAAGGAGTGAAAGAAAGCACACAATGGGAATACTGAGTATTTTGAAATAAGACATTAATTGTTCAGTGGAATTATTTGCAAGAAGAGGACTTTCAGGTTCAAATATAAAGTCTTGAACTTGGCTTAATTCTCCAAAGCATCAAAAGACAGCAATAATCCAGGTAAACATTTAGATTTATGACATTCCAAAACACCGAGTTGGTATTATTATGTAGCACTACATAATACTAGCCATGTCAATTATCATAACTGACATTTTTACCCTTTGCCTTTAAATTCAGTATTTATTTACCACCTGCATCCAAGCTGCTCATCTATTTGTATTTGACTGACTATAATGGATTGATATTAGTGAAGGGGAGCAAAATATACCACCCCAAAATATGCCTGTTTGGCATAATGATTATTTGGGGCTGATTAGTTTTGAGTGACTGCAGGTACAGGAGAAGCTCTGAAAACAGAGAAGTTACCCTTTTGTGAGGGAAATGGACATCTGCAACGGGAATCTCCTTTTTAAGGGGGGGGGGTGTGGGGTGTGTGTGTGTCTCTCTCTCCCTCTCCCCCCCTTCTCTCTCTCTCTGTACAGGAAGAGGACAATGGTTAAATCTCTAGAAACCCTTATCAGTGGAGAAGGCAGGACTTCAATCTGCACAGCAACCTTTCTCTTGTTGACTGTGCCTTTCCTGGTCACCTCCCAGAACTGCCCCTCCCACCCCAACGCCTTCTTTTGTCTTTAGCTGGGGATGGTATTTAAGGTGGTGGTTTGGGCTACTTCAAGGAATTACTCAACTTTCCTGGGTCTCTCCCAGGTACACAGGAGGTATATATTTTACTAAACTCGTTTGTTTTTCTCTTGCTACTCTTATCTTTGATTACAGGGGATCTTAGCCAGGAACCTGGAAGGCTAGAGGAAGAACTCTATTTTCCTCCCCTACATTTGTTAATCATGCCTAGGTATTTTACTTCATGCCATCTGTAAAATATAGTTCTTCACAAAGAAAATGCACACCAAAGAAAAAAACCTGGCTAAATCGAAATTTCTAATTCAAAATACACACCCTCCTCCAAGGCAGCTGAAACAGATGAAGAAAAACATACTGCCAAGGTGAGGAAATGGGAACAACTGTCATTGAACAACAATAAAAAAAATTAAAAATAAAGAAGGAAATTCATGACCTTCAAACTCGCCTAGACCTTTACTGCTTCTGGGCAGCCATACTCTACTCCCTCAGCCTCCTCATCCTCCCACTCCCCTCGACAACTAGTTCACACCTTCTCTCCCATCCAGCCTTCAACCCTGACCTCTGTCCTGAACTCAAGATTCATATACTTTCCTGCCTCTTTGACATCTCCAGCTGGAAGCCTGGTAAGTTTTGACATGGCCAGAACTAAACTCCTGATCTTCTCTTCCAAGCCTGGCCTTCGCACAGTACTCCCCATATCAGCTAACAGCTTCACACCTCCATTCAACCAGACCTGAAGCTCTTACTCTCACATCCATCCTTCAATCTATCAGCAACTGACGCTACACTTCCGAATGTAGTCAGAATCCACCCGCTTGTCACAACTGCTACTGCTACCGCCTGGTTCAAGACACCATCCTCTCTGGCTTGGTCCCTCTTAACAGTCTCCCAATTGCTCCCTGCTTCTATCCTCAATGCCCTATCGTTTCTATTCAACCAAACAGCCACGGCGATCCCTCAACCTAAGTGGGGTCACATCAGGCCTCTGCTCAAAAGCAGGCATGACCTCTCCACTTCACCCAGGGTAAAAGCCGACATTCTTACGGTGGCCTACAGGCCTTCCAAAATGCCACCGTCCTTATCCCTACCCTGACCTCAGGGCCTACTTCTCTCGCCCGCACTCGCCCCACTCTGGCCTCATGGACCTTCCTGCTACTCCTGGAGCCCTTCGGGCATGTACCCACCTTACGGCTTTTGCTGTTCCTCCGGCCGAGAACACTCTTCCCCCAGATGGCTGCCATGTCTAACTTCCTCACGTCCTTCAAATCTTTGCCCAATGTCATCTTCCCGGTGAGGCTTTCCTTGACCATCTTATGTAAGCCTACAGCCCACTCCACATCCCCACACCTCGTAGCATGCCTGATTCTTCTCCGCCCTGATCACCTTTTTCTTTCTCAGAGTCCTTATCATCTTCTAACACACTTGTTACTTTACGCATTGTGTTTTCTATGTCTGTGCCCCTCCCCATTTGGATGTCAGCTCAATGTGGTCGGGGGTCTTTGTCTCTTTTGTTCTCTTAGAATGCCATGGCCTAGAACAGTGTCTGGCATGTAATAGGTGTTCAGCAAATACTCGTTGACTAAGTGCATGAAACCACACCTCAGCGCTTATTAGGTGTATCTGGCTGGGCCATCAATGCCATTGCTGCAATTACAGATGGCCAGGGACCAGGGTACCGGGAAGCTCACAACACTGTTCTTTCCACTTTATGTTTAGAAATTCCCAAAACAAAAGGTTTTAAGTTTATGAAAAAAAATATACACAAAGTGTTTTCTGTGAGATAAGTACTGCACTCCTTTAGTTTTTAGAAAATAGCATAAGGAGAGAAGGAAAAAACAACCCTGCATCTTATTTCTACTTCCAAGCCACTTAATAACTGTTAAATATGTTACAAATCATTCCATTTCTGGGTCTCCAGCTTCCTCATCTCTAAAACAGACAGGACTGACTAGAAAATCTCCACCTGTTATAATTACATCAGTTCAAAAGTCTAATCATAAAGTTATCTAGTCCCCTTTTTTTCCCTAAACACGGGTTTCACATACGTCATTTCTGTAGGAGAAATTCTGACTCTATGTGGCAGGATTTCATGCTTTTCTCACTTCTAGATTTTCTTACGTTTTCTAAATTTTCAGTCTCTGTTTGAATGTTTGGTTACCATGAAAGTGACAGCGGCCTGCCAAACGTCCCCGTGCGGGAGCTCGTCAGCTGCCTCGGGTTTGAGGTTGGGGGGCAGCACTCACCATCTCCTTCTTATCCTCCTGGAAGTGCACGTCCACAAACATTTTCCCAGCAACATAAGGAAGGGCGCTTTCGATGAAGTTTACACATTTGTCCCACTGAGGCAACAAAGTTGTGGTCCCCTGGATCACCTGCAGGAGATCATCATTTCAGATTTAGTTTTCCTTGGATCAAACCTATGACTGAAAAAAATTCAACCACCTGAAGAAAACAGTCTATGAAACACTGCACACTCCAACCCATATGTGTGCGTCTGACAGTGGAAGCAAAGGTGAAATCACAGGGAAAAAAATTCTGCTTGTCCCCACTTATATTTAAAACTAAATGAAAATATTTTGACAATAGAAAATAATGGATTTCTCCTTTCCTTCCAATTTTCCCCAATAAACAAAGGATTTAGACAATAGCATAACTTTTCTGCAGTTTACAGGGATGTAAGGGGATGCTGTCCAAATGTCTGGCTAATATCTGATATCGACTGAAAACTAAAGTTACACCAAGAAAGGGCTGAAGTCAATAGGTGATCAAAGTCCCTGCCCAGCGGGGGCGTCCTTGCTCAGGGTAGTACACTCACAAGGCAGGCCAGGAGAACAGGGCCCACCATGAACTACCCAGGAAGCATATTTACATTGTGTCATAACAAGGAACACACTGGAAACCAAGTAAAAACCAGATGTAAATGTTTTTCCCATCTGTCCCAATTAAATCATCGTAAGAAAACATTTACAAACAAGTAAAGAGGTTCCAAAGAAGGACTTGCAAGGCTCAAAGGTTTACTCTTGGGGATGAAACCAAAGAAATAAATATTATTTAGCTGCACTGGGAGGTTGGGAGCTCAGAGCACTCAAAGCGCAAAGTGAAGGCAGGCAGCAAGGAAGGGGGGACCTGAGAATGGGGGCTGGAGGCGCCCCCTGAACAGCGTCAGACCCAGGCTGTTGCTGCAGGGTGGACGGGGCTAACAATTAAGTTCATCTCTTCTCCCTCCACTCTCTGGGAAAACAGCCCCTCTCAGAGACCAGGAATGAATCTATTTTTAAAACCTCTAGAGAAAGAGACCCTATAACTTTCTTTGGCAAGTCAATATTATATTTAGCACTTCACACTCAAGAAACATCCCCTCATACCTAACCTCAAAGTGTTCACACTGTACTCCTTACACTTCTCCCTCTCTGATTATCTTCACAGTGGGAGTGAAAAGCAACTGGGTACCATCTTTTATGTGAACCCTAGGATATATGGAGATACATACACACACACGCACACGCACACGCACACATATTTGTGTTTATATATGTGTAAAATCTACTTGTTTTGTAGCTTAACCCTTTGATATGACCTAGATATATATCGGTGTTTTATGCTGTTCTGTATAAAACTCATGAATTTATATAGTGATTTTAAAAGGCCAAAATGTATTCAAAATAATTGTTACTACTCAATAATGATCTGTTAAGAATTTCTGTACTTACCAGTATCTGTAGTAATTAAAACATTCGTTCAATGAAATCAGAGCTTATAAAATTCATCATTCACTTAATTTCAAATTTAGAGAAAAATAAAACACTGTTTAAAGTCACTAAATTCTTAAAATGTTAATTTTTTTTTTAAAAAGTCACAAAATCCTGAAGTCCTCTAGTGGTGGGAGAATTATGCAGTCAAAAGCTTCTGAAACAAGGACAAGAGTGAACACCCATGTAAGATTAGAACAAGATGGGGAGAAAAGCAAATATCAAAGAGCCAGCTGAGGGACTGGGAGAAGAATGTGTTTCAGGCAGTTGAAGGAGGTCTCTAGGGAGCGTAGAGTCAGGCCTCTTCAGCCTAGCAGAGTTAGATAGATTTGGAGATTGAAAAGATCAAGGTCAAGTTAAAGACAAAAATCTATCCCTAAATTACAGGTAAAACTTTATCATCTAATACATATAGCATGCACATTTTGAATATTCAGAATACTAAAATGAAAGACAGTTACAAATACATCACTGAGAAATATTACAGCTATAATTACAGTGACCCAGTTAAAAACACTGAGAGAAAATGGGAATAAGTTGGAGAGTGAAAACTATATGATGGTCCCAAGGACTGCCCTACACGTCTTCATACAGCCCTGTCAAAGTAAGGCATGAGTGTACCTTACTGTGTGTAAGGTTTACCTCAATAAAAAGAAGTAAAGCAAAAAAAGGTAGAGATTGGCCAGCAACACTCCCTCTGCCCAATCCCTAGAGATGACTGTTACTGGACTAGTTAACATATGGACTATTCCTACAGGTAAAGTTACCCAGTGATGTAACATTGCAATCTTATTAAAGCTTACCCTTGAGAATTCCAGCCACCTATACTGAAAGCGCCTGCTAAGGTTGGGAATTCTGGAATAAACCATCCTCCACACCAAATAGTTGGCAATAGTCCTGTTAACAGAGAGAGATTGCACATTTATTATACTTAGGTTGCTATCTGATGCTCTGCAGAAGACCATGGGAGAAACTGTTGGCAAAGCTCCATGGAGGGACCTCTTGCTTATAAAAGACTGCATAGCTTTCATTTGAAAAATGGCATAGGATGATACAATGTCAATAAGCTCAACCAAAATTGTCCTGCTTTTTACCACCTACTAGAGATAGATGAAACAAATATTCCACCTCCAGGCCTCACTGTAAGCATTTTGCTTTCCCTCTCAGGGCATGGAGTCCACTATGGCCTGACCTTTCATGCCTAGAAATTATCCACACCCACACTTTCCAATTATTAGGTGACTTAATAAAAATGCAGATGAATTCTTATCTTTGGAAACAAACAGCAAGATGCTGGCGAACAACAATTATCTAGATTAGCTCCCAGGCTCTGTACTTAGTAAATATGTGAACGTGGGAAAGTCACTTAAGTTTGCTGACTGTATCATTCCTTGCCACACAGCTGGAATGATCCCTACCTTACAGGGTTATTGTGAGGTTAATGTAAATAAGAAAATGCTTGACAAAGAGTAAATTCCAGATTTCTGTTGTTTTTGTTCACTTCCAAACATATAAACACCACCATATGCTCATGTAATACCCATAATACACATTTTAAAAATCTATTACACTTTGTTAAGTGTTGGCTTTTTCTATAAGAAAAAGATGCCTTGACCTCAGAAGGATGTGTGATCTAAGTTAATTTCTAACTCATCAGTGATGATGAATTTTTAATGACCCATCTCCTCCCAGCTGCGCCATTATCGCAGTGACTAATAACACACATTCCTGCAGCAGCTCTTGAGTCAGCCAGCCATGCGACAGCAGTGTGACGTGATGACAGTAACTGGCCCATCAACAACACACACTCGTAGTAGACTTATTGCGGTGATCACTTCATAAGTTGTATAAATGCCTATCACTATTTTGTATGTCTGAAACTAATATAATAGTGTATGGCAACTGTAACTGAACTGTTTAAAATATTTTTTTTAAAAAGAATACTCATTTGCATGGCACTTTAATGCAGCAGATGTGCACTCCTAGCAATAAAATATGTTTCAGCATATACACACAATGTATGTGTATTTATTTCCATTTACATAGAGATAAACTAATGGACTCATACATTAGAAATGTTTTGACAACTGTAGAAATAGAAATTTTGAAAGATAACATAAAATAAAAATATTTTCAAAAATTATTACTTAATTGTTCAAATATCAGTAGTTAACTCTTCCAGAAGCATTATCCATATAGGAATAGGGGGTGCACGAATGACAGCGGGTGTAAATTGACAGTCCTTATAGTTCTCTTGACTACTTCAAAACATTTTAAACCGGGCCCTTGTCAGATCTGGTTAGACCACTACTGTCTTTGCCTTGCCGTCGGTCTAACCAAGATGGCACACTAGCCTGGGAAAGGGCCACTTCCGCCATTCTCTTGCCATCCACTTGTGCTTCCTTTGCCAGCAGTAAGTTTCAAGTCCTGTTTCTCTGCAACAGTTTTTAAAGCCATTTGTCCACTTTTAATGATTAAACTAGATAATAAAAATTCATAAATCTATACATATATGTAAACAGTTCAAGATTGTTTTCATCATATCTAATGAAAACAAACTCCTGAGGGTGACACTGTCCCTCCCCACCCCCTGCACTCATGTGCGCCACATACAGAACAAATGCAGGGCCTATGGCCATTTAGACAGAACTCTAAAACCTAATTATTTTTTCCACAAAAATAAAGACATGTAGAAACTTTAAGATTTTCTTCTTGAATTGGGTGGATATTGTTGGGATACGTGCACCCCCCTAGGGAGACCACCGCTGTCGTCCGTAAAGGCTAGGCTTTATCCATGCCCTGTTGCACCTACTATGATAAACGTGTAGTTTGACGTCATTCCCTTGGATCTTTTGAGTTCACGTCCCTACTCATGAGCAAGACAAGAACTGCTCACTGAGCACTTACTGTTGCCCAAGTATCATTCCAGATGCCATGAGGAATGTAAAGAAACAGGTACCCGGCGCCTCCATCCACAGCACTTAAAGAGTCTAGTTGGGGCACACAGGACTTCAGATTTCAGCCTATTCATATAATCAGGTTTCTGAATTGAAGGCACACACAGTGAGCACATATGAGATCCTTTCACTTGATCAGCACATCCTGAGCACCTAGGTAAGTACTAACAGTTCTAGGTACCAGGGAGACAGAAAGGTGAGAAAGATAATAGTCCCTGTCTCCTGAAGCTTGTAGCTGAGCAGGGGAAATGAGACAAGCGCTTCAATAATGACTTGCAGACCCTGACACCCAAAAGTGCATGCCAGACACATCACCAGAAGGAACACACAGCTCAAGCTGAGGGATGAGGGCAAGTCATGAGCAGGACAAGAGCTATGCCCAAAGGATGGGGAGCTTGGGGGTGTGAAGCAAGAACATGAACTGTGGACAAGCTAAATAATGAAGGAACAGCTTATGTGTTGGAGCGGACTGTGAGCAGAGTCATCACTCTCACAGCCACAAGGCCACTTACAGTGGGGAAACACAGGCGGGAACCAGGGTCCAGTGTAGAGAATGTCAGTGGGGCAGAGCCTGACCTTAACACAAGGTGTATATGTTCTTCAGACTTAAAATTCTGCTTGCTGGGTGTGAGAGCTATGCTGGATCCATAGGTGTGGATTAGAAGGTCCACAGCCAGCAGATACCCTCCATGAATTCAAAAGATATTCCCTCAAGGGGGCAGTGATGAGCCAGGTTAACTGGGGACATCACTGTTAGGATGGGGCCTGAGGGTGGTAGGAGAGGCATAGTGGTGGTGGCCATTTTAAATACAAAGAAACTTAAAGCCTAGAACCATTAAGTAACTCCTCATGATTATATAGTCAGTGGGTCTCCACTTAATAAATCACCTGGGGAGTTTTAAAGGTCCACATGTTCCGGTCCCTCCACACCACCTACATGAAAATCTCTAGGGTGTAAACCCAGCATAAATAGTTTTTCCAATTCCCTCCAGCTAATCCCAATGATCAGCCAAGTTGGAGAGCAAGTGTAGTAAGTGATGGAGGCTCGACCAGACGCAGGTGTGTCTAACTCTAAGCCTGCGTGCTCTTCCCAATTCTATACAGTGATGCATGACTGCCTGTAATTCAGCACAAATTTCCAGACCAATCACAGAGACCCCAAAATACTCTGACAAAGGGACTTAGCAGAAATCTGTAGGGACAAAGAAAGAACAGTGAGGACTTTACGGGGCCAGGAATTACTAAGATGTCAGCATTACAAGGCCTCAGGAAGCCGGGGGATGGGCTACGGGGAGACTCACACAGTGAGACAATGGCCCAGAGAGCTGCTCCAGTGTGAGACACACACTGATGGGAGGTGGGGGGGAGGCGGGCGGGAGGCGGGCGGGGGGGGGGGGCGCCCAGGCGGGGGCGCCCACAGTCTGAGAGTGCTCCTATTACCACGCCAGGAGCAGATCTGACCACAGTGACTGAATTGCTGATACATAATGCTCTGACACACCAAAAAAAAAAACAAAACAAAACCATGTTCTGTAACAGTCCTTGAAAATAACAAATACTGTCTCTTTTTTTTTTTCCAAAAAGCATTTTCAGCAGTATGGTAATTTCCCCAAATAACAATAAATAAAGCAGAGGACAGCAAAGCATCAAAAGAGAACCCACCACTATGAGAGCCACATGAAATCATTTCCCAAAGCCTCTGACTAGGAAGATTTTTTTTTTTTTTAAGAAGCTTTTGCTGCCCTTTGTTCTCAGTTAGTGGCAGCTTACGTTTGCATTGCATTTCAAAGATCATATCTTTTATGAGCCTCATGACAATGCTATGGGTAGTTATTATCATCTCCATTTTCAGATGGAAAGAAACAAAGGTCAGAGGTCAAAGGACTTCCAAGGCTGTGTCAAAGCCAACACTAACATTTAGGTCTTCAGATTCCAGAGCTTGCATTTTGTTCTACCTCAGGTGAGCCAAACAATTTCTTCTCAAAACTCAAAAACCAAAGAAATCTTAAATCCTAAAGGCTGCCCAGAGCTATGCCTAAGACTGGTTCCCAAATTGTGTCCCCAGACCAGCAGCTTCAGCATCACCTGAGACCTTGGTAGAAAATTCCCGGGCCTCGCCCCCAGACTCCCTGAATCAGAAACTGTGGCGGTAGGGCCCAGCAGTCTTGTAACATGTCCTCCATGGGATTCTCGTGCTTGTCAGGTTTGAGAACCCTTGGTCTAGGAAAACTCCATCTCCTCATCTTTCCACACACACACAAAACTAGGACTTTCTAAATCCCAGATCAGTGCTCCTTATACATGAACGTGTATGAATCTGCTGGGGAGCTCCTTAAGTTGCAGATTCTGATTCAGTGAACATGGGGCAGAGCCTGAGGTTCTGCTCCTAACAGGCAAGGCCTGCACTGCTCTCCGTGGGCCATACATTGAACTGCAGAGCCCTCCACCACCCTCAGCTTTGCTGACCCCGTGAGAGGTCCACATAACAGCACATTTTCCAGGTAGCCTCTAGAAACATCTGTCCAACAAGAGTCATCTAACTTTAATGTACACTGTGCTTCTTTTCTATGAAAATGAAAGTGAAGACAAAAGAGATCATAGAGGCTTGGCAAAATCTCCAACGTTTTCCTTTTGGGCTAGCCTGCTAAACGGACACACACAATTCTGACGCAGATGACCTCCACTAGGCCAGGCCTTGCCAGCAAGAAGATCCCAAGTCAAATCTGTCTGACCCCATCTTTCCTCAGCCTCCCCCCTCCCGTTCTTGATCCTCAGACCAAATTAGATGGTATTGGATTGGCCAAAAAGTTCATTTGGTTTTTTCCGTAAGATGGCTCTAGTAGTGCTTGTCTTTAACTTCACTGGAAGTAATTTTGTTAGACAGTATTGTGACAGCTGTCCTATCAGTGTGCATTTAAAAAAACTTATCAAAATTGGTGAATTTTTGTGAAGCCATTTTAATACTGAAAATGGAAGAAAATAAGAAACATTTTTGGCATATTATACTTTATTATTTCAAGAAAGGTAAAAATGCAACTGAAATGAAAAAAAAAAGGATTTGTGCAGTGCATGGAGAAGGTGCTGTGATTGAACAAACGTGTGAAAGGTGGTTTGTGAAGTTTCGTGCTGAAGATTTCTCTCTGGACGATGGTCCATGGTCGGGTAGACCACTTGAAGTTGATAGAGATCAAATTGAGACATTAATTGAGAACAGTCAACATACTCAAAATATTCAAACCAATAAAGATATTGGTGAAAATGAAAAGCATGTCTTTTATAGGAAAAACTAAACATATTTTGGCCAACTCAATACTTCACTGGCCTCTAGAGAGGAAGGGCCTCAGAATCTGCATTTTTACCACAGGCAGCTGGCATTACTGGTCCATGGAGCACAGTTTCAATAGCAAGGCTCTACCCCACCTACCTACCTCTAGATTCAATTTCCACTTGGAGAATTTTCAAAGAATGATTGCTTATCTTTGGTAGAATTTCAAGTGAACTTATTGTTTCTCCTCTCCCTTTCTCTGTATGTATACTATTCCGTATGCTTTCCCCAAAGAACATATATTGCTTTTTCCATAAGAAGATATCATCTTAAAAAGAACGGTAGACCTTCACAGGTGTCTAAGTGCTTCTGTAGGTGGGGATGGATGCTGAATTTTATTCCTAGGATTTCTGTAGGCACCTTTGTTTAAAACATAACTCTGGGCAACACAGTCCTCACTAAGTCCAAATAAGAAAATAAGATTTTTAATCATGGCCTGGTGATTAGCCTTTGTCTTTGAAAACTAGCTGACCTTTCTGTGCTTCATTTTCTGAAGTCAAATGTAAAGGGCTTCATGAAGATGTGAAATTCTCTTTTCTGGTCATTTTAGGATTTCCTTGTTTTGTAGTGCTGAAGTAGCACAGCAACAAATCCTAAAACATTCTTTCAAATAAAAAAACGGTCAGTGCCTGAAGTTGTTTCATCAGTGCAATTTCTCTACAGCTCTCAGAGTGATCTTATGTCTTTCCAATATAGGTACTTCGGTTTATTGCCAGAAAGTGACTTATTGGCTAAAAAGAAACCAGGAAAAAAAGCAGCAAGAGACCAAGAATGAACTGGGGGGGGAGATGTTTATATAGAAGTCTCAGAAAAACAACATCATTATATAACTATTTCCCAAAACTAACAACTTAGGTTTTCAGAGAGAAAATATGAAGAAAAACCAGAAATGAGTGGAAAAAACATTGTGTATGTGCTGTTATTGCAGCAAGTAAATTACACCAGACAATGGTTTTAGTCAATTTGTCACAAAGGGCACCATGATTTTCCCCAATACTCTTTTGATGTAACTTGCATTAAAAACAGTTTCCAAAAGATGTGAGAAGGAAGGCCTTATTATTTTAGAGGAAAAACAAAAGTCACAGCAGAATACACAAGAAAGCTCTTACTTCTTCCTCTCAGAGCCTAGTATCCGAAACAGGTCCTTAAAGTACTGCGGGACGCGGACCACCACGTTCTCTGAGGGGCCGATGTCTTTCAGGTCAGGGTAGAGTCTGACATCGATGACCTTCTTGATGTAGCCCAGCCAGTCAAACTGAGAAAGAGAAAAAAGCAGAGTGAAAGTACCTCTTGGTGGCAAGTGGGGCAAATAAATACACAGTCAGTTAAACATACTCCATCGCTTCTGATTTCAAACCAAATAATTAAAGACGCAACTGCTCAGATCTATAAATTAAATGCCTGATCACTGCCACCCAGACCTACTGCTCGCATCATAAATGGAACGTGTGTTCTGTACCATCTGCATGTGGACAAGTACACTCACCGGGTAATACGCACACTCTGCCGGCCCCTCCCGCACTCTCTCCCCCTCCCTCCTCTCCTCTCCTCTCTCTTCATTCTCTCTCCTCCTCCGCTCCTGCATTCCCCCTCCTCACCACCTCCCACACTCTCCCTGGCTCCCACGTTCACTCACTGTCTTGTTCACACAGGCGAAGATGCCTCAGGATTACTGGTCTTCCCTCTGGCACAGCCTTTCTTACACAGGGAAAACAAGCAGCAACAAAAAGTGACGTGTCCCCTCTTCCGAGCATCATTATCTTCTTGTTGTAATGGGCTACCCCAGAAGTCATTTCCAAACCCCTTTTTCTCCCTCCCTGGCCTATGTCCGTTATCGGAATGGAAAACTGGTTACTCGCTGGCCCAGCCTTCCCTGTAGGGTAGGGGATGGCCATGTGCCCCTGTTCTATTCAATAGGAAATAAAAGGAAGACATCTGGGGATATTCTAGAAAGGCCATCAATGTCCCTTTCCTGTTCTTCCTACCTCAATGACAGATGTGATACATGGGCCTGTGGTAGGCCCATTGCAAGCCTGCGTCATCAAACATGAAGTCAAAAAGCCAATACACTAAAGAGAGTGGAGTAGAAATAAACAACTTGGGTCTTCGACAACATTGTTAAACAGTTAAACCACCCTCAATATCCACCTACGTCTGGACTTCAGCCATGGAACAAAATGGGCTGTAAGTTTTTAAGCCATCGTAAAGGTTTTCTGTCCCCCCTAAGAGGAAGCACCCTGATGCACAGATAAGGGGTATTTTATGTGATAACGGACGAAGATGATGATAACCGAGGAGACAGATAGTAGGTTTTACAAGGCAAAAATTTACAGAGATGAAATACAATAACTTGTGAGAAAAAAAAAAAGGCCAGTTAAAATAAAGTTCCCTGGATTGTTTTCACCAACCTGGGGAATCATAGCACTCAGTTGGGAAATGTTCATTTTGTTGTACATTGCTTCACTGGTTCGGTTTTCATGTGGAATCATTATCTGTTGGAAGGAGATTTTGGTTATTTTTTCAAAGGAAACATTTCTTACGGCATGACGCTTTCTATAATACATGTGTCCAAACATCTGCATGGTATCATATGGTTTTTCAAGATTTTGGTGCAGTGCTGAACTTGGGAGAGAAAAAAAAAAAAAGACATCACTTTAGGCAAAATTAAGAAAATAAAAAGGAACTTTCCTGTCCTGTTCAGTGTGAAACATTGTCCTCAGTGCAAAAATAACTACCCAGAATCCCTTCCTCATTTATAATGTGGATGGACAACATTTATTATTGGCCCAGTTTTGACAGCCAAACTGAGGTTCGTCAATTGAGACAAACATCCCACCTTCACCTGTGGCGTCCAGATAATGACCTCAGTGTTTCATGAACTGCAGACAATCCTTCATCCCTAGGGCCCTATTTTCACTGAAGAACACTAGCCTATCTGGACACCGCTGCCACCTGTGATCATTCTGTCAACAGCTCATCGCCTCACTTCCCGTCTTCCCTCTGCTTTCTTTGGCCTTGAGCGTCCCCTCGCCCCACTGCTGGGGGTATGGGTTCAGTCACCATCCAGATACAGAGTTCCAAGTCTGCATCTCCAGCCCTGACTCTTCACACTCCTTCCACTCCCAATATGCCTGCCCTTGGCCATCTGGCCAACCCCAAAACAAACTGAAGCTTCTAGCCTCTGTCTCAGTTAATCGAATCTAGTCAGAGGAGCACTGCTCACCTTCCTCACGGGCCACCTTCATCACCTCCACGGACAGGCATGCTTAGCTCCCCATGCCCAGCCCCGAGTCATGTCATCTGGCTCTCTTGCACTAAACTTGCCGCCTCCCACCTCCCACAGGACTCTCCTACCCTTGCGCACTCACCCACCATCACCACGCCAGGGTCTGAACTATGATTGAAGATGAGATTCATTTCCTCTGTCAGGCCTTTCCTTTTAACCCCACCTGGCTCCGATCATAAGGGCCGCTCCATCAGTAAGGCCTCCCCCGGTGCGCACCTCTCTCTGGCTGGGCCTGGTTAAATGCACACTTCCAGGGCTGGATTTACAATGACTTAATTTGTGCTTAACTAGGCTGTCCTGCCTCTCCAGGGAAGCTTCAGAAGTTCCCATAGGACTATGGGCAATTTTGAATGTCCCCGGTGACCTGGGGTGTAACAGACGTGAGCATCACTACCAGCCAAAAATTCACGGGTTTTTCGAGGCAAAGTCACAGCGGGCTGAGTGGCAGACACGCGCCCCTCTTTTCTGAATGCTTTGGTGCCCTTAGCTTCTCCCCTCTCGCCCTCCCCAGGAGAGAATTCCTGTACCTTGCAAACATCTCACTGGCTTCGTGTGAATCATTGCCTCAGAGACTGTCCACTCCTCCCTGTCCTCAGCTCCCAGCCTCAGGTTGGAGCCCTTTGGCCTCAAAGCTGTTTTCAGCTCTCTGCCAGCTGCTTCCCCCCACCCTGTGGATTTATCACTTCATTTAGCCTCTTGACAATTCCCAGTCTTGCCTCAGCCCAGCTGTGTTTAGTTCCCTTTTTGGTCTAGATCCCTGGCTCAGGGCAAGGCCTTCCCCGATGCATGAGAGCTTCGGTCTGAATTGGAGCTCCGGGTCCCCTGCCTGTGAAGGGAATCCAGACAGCCTTTAGACATGGCTGAGATGCAGTCTTCAACTCCAGGACATTGCGGTGGTCTTCACACAGTCTTCAAAGGTGGCGTGCAGGGAACGCCTTTGTGTGCCGCAAGTCAAAGTTTGGAGAGAGGGACACACATACATCACTGCTATTGAGAGAGGCTAGCTCCTCCTCGGCCTTATCCATCACTCCAACTCGACACTTCAACACCTCGCCACCATTTCACCAAGCACGAAGCTGAGCAACACTTGGACTCACAGGCCCTTTCGGATTTTTCCCAACTTGCTGTAGGAGCCTACCAACTCATATACAAGTGGCTCTTGCCAGAAGTTTGTTTTTTTCACTACAAGGTAGCCCAACAGGCAGATCTTGCTATATTTGTTCTCTCTGGTCCTGGGAATATATAGGGATTTTACACTTTGGTTCTTCTAGGAAAAAAAGTTATTCTGTAAACAAAGCTAACCATTTAGGATCTCTCATTCTCCCTCAAGTTTGTTCTTGTATCGTTTTCTTTCCACCGTTTAGCCTGAAAGAAGTTAAGGTGACTTACACAGAACACAGGAGATGACACAATGACATTCATTAAAGTGGGACAAGAAAAAATAATAAAAAACAGGAATGGGTACAAAGTAGCACCAGAAAGGCGGCTAAAAATGCTCACCAGCGTGCCCCCCTATATACTTTCGACATCAAATTATATGCAGTATGGGTGGACGACTTCCCTAAGTCCGTATCTTAGGTCAGACTGACCCTGAGTGGGAATGGTGTCAAGAGCAGATTAGAGTAAAAATTAATCTAATTTCCTTCCACTCAAGTCAAATCAACAAGGATTCATTAAATACGAGGGGGAACCCAAAAAACCTGGAATTTACTTATTAAAAAATTGTGGATTTCTTCTTACATGTTTAAACTTCCATCACCTTCAAAATACTCTCCAACTGATGCAATACACCTATTGAGACTTTTTTCCGCTGCTCAAAACAGTTTTTGAACTTGTCTACTTTGATGCCTTTTAGTGCTTATGCCGGTTTTTGTTTCACCTCTTCCACATCGACAAAATGTTTCCTTTTAAGGACTTTTATTCATCCAGGGTAACAAAAAGAAGCCACTCAAGGACAGATCAGGTTAATAGTCAGGGTGGGGCAGGAGGGTCATGCCATTTTTGGTCAAAAACTGCTGAACACTCAGCACAGTGTGAGCAGGTGAGCTTGTAAATCTCCCATCAAAAAAATTACCTGAAGTGGAACGCAGCCTCTCACAACGCGAGCTGGTACAGTGATACAGATGGGTTCCTACAATACTCACCTAGCAGTGGAAGCCTGTACTACAAGGGGTGCACCCTCTAGAAAGAATAATTACAGTTTTGGGGGAGGGTCCCCCTCATATCTACTCTTCTATTGGAGCTACAAAGGAATTTCTCTTGGAAAACATAGTCAGAGGGTCTTTGGCCATAGCTGAGCAGCATATGGACATTGAACGGGCTTCAAGCAGGGAGGCAGAAGGAATAAAGAACTCTTTTTTCTGTCATGGTTCTTCCTATGACTTGCCAGTGTTCTTTACGTTGGACCCAAAGGACAGTGTCACAGAATGCGATTTTATACATTTTTTTTCATTCAGGATATACTGCCTTTAAAATAAGAAAAAGAAAAAAATAGATTTTAGATTGTCTTACCTCAGCTATCTTAATTTCTAATCTAAGCACCGACTTCATGTCATGCTCTGCCCGGGAGCTATTAGCTCCCAAAAGTACGGCAGTATCCACCATGAACTTGTAAAGGGCATCCCGATACTGTAAGAGATAAAGAAGCAAGTGACCATGACAACAGTCTATTGGAAAGTATGTTTCAGGGACAGAGGAGAGCAGAAGCAGCAGGTGGCAATAAATGCCCTTCATTTTCACGTGTACTCAATGTACGGTACAGGCATTTCGCAATACCAACCACCCACCTACCATTTGGGGAGAAAGAGGAGTGACAGCTACCTGGATACTGTTTCCATGACAGACAGAGATGTCCAGCCACCAAGAATCAAAAGAACTAGTTTTGTGGCAACCAACAATATTATGGACCTGTGAAACATCTCCAAATGTGCCCAGAATAGAAAGTTAAAGGTCAGACTCCCTCTTCCAGGCAAGGGAGGCTTTAATAAAATAATTGGAAAGAACTGTTGCTAAAAGCAGGAGGCATGACTAAAAAAAATTAAAGACCAGCAACTGCTGCCTTATGTCTTTTCAGTTTTGTGTAGTTTGCACAAAGTTCTCCTCACCACCTCAGAGAAAAAAGAAGGGAGAGATGAGAGAAATGATGAAGCAAAACTGAGCAAATAGCAAATACAGAATTTCCTCCCTGCATGTTCATAAACCCATTTTCATGATATTCATATGTCATTGGAGGGAAGAGCCTTATTTTGTGGGAACTGAGGAATCTCATTGGCGGTCACCTCTCCTTTCAGACATACTTGTAAGGGCTCAATATACTAGGTCTTAAATTATCTCAACTATAGGAATAGGATTTCCTGATATGCACCTTGATTCTGTAAGCTATCCTGACTGGGTTTATGACCTTGGGATGTATACAGTGCTTGGCATATAGCAGGCCCTTAAAAACTACTTGTTGAATCAGTGGGCAGGCTCTGCAAATACACTTAATTAGAAACAATGCTTTGCAATTCCCAGTTCGATTTAAAAAATATTTAATAAATCACTATATGTGCAAGATGTCTTGCTAGGCATTCTGTGAGTATGGGGGGAAGGGGGTGCAGATGGAAAAGTAAATAATGCTTAAGTCTAATTTCCCAGTGTGTGATCTGGTTCTCAGTGTGTGAGGGAGATAAACATGTAATTACTAACTGTAACATTAGAGATACCAAAATAATTTCCTTAATAAAGCTGCTAAGTGCTTGAAAACTCAAGAGCTGAGAAGAATTACAGCCTGGAGAAATCGGGGACCCGGTGTTTGAAGAAGACAGGTCCGGGAGCGGTGAGGAGACCTCCTTTGAGATGTATGCGCTGCCTTTGTTAGGGAAAGAATAAACAGCTGACACAGCAAAGGCGGCTTGGGGGTCAGGTTAGGTCATGAAGAGGTCCTGAACCCCCTCTGCAGTGTTTAGCTCCCAGCTTGTGAGCAAAAGCATGAGGGGAGCTGCACTCTGAGGAGAGATTTTATCAGGTGGTGTACAATGGAAGCGATGAAAGGAATGAAGGGAAAGACATAACAACTAAAGGCTATCTGCTGTAATCAAGCCAAGGACCGGACTTAGAGCAGTAGGGAGAGAGAGGGGGCCCCAGGTGGAAGGGAGGTTTTGAAAGCAGAATCCATAGGCCGTGACTGACTGGTTGTGATAAAGGGAGAGGATTTCAAGCCTGGCTGCTGATAGGGAGGTGACCCCAGCAGAAAGAGAGGTGCCCCACACTGACAAAAGTTCATTCCGTCCACTTTCCAGAAGAAACACTTGCCCACCTTCTTTGATGACTGTCCTCAGTCAAAATTGCCTTCCTGCCCTCCAGAGCCTTCTAGCGTTTAGTATCAGCAAAGGAACGGAGACTTACATTGTGAGCCAGCACCTCCGAGTCTAAGCTCCTGCATTCTCAGCCTGGGCCCGAAGCCTGGGGACCCCGGGTCTGAGGCTCCCTTGGAAGTTTGACAAAGTTTCCAAAATAAAGTCAAAGTGTCAGGAATGAACCGGCTGTCATCTAATAAAAATCTAGGTTTCCAAGTCAACCCAAGCAGTCCAACCTGATTGACCCCATCCAGTTCTCATTAATCTGGGTCCCCTGTTATGAAAACAGACTCCTGGGCCCCACTTCAAGTTTACTAAAGCAGGCTCTCCAGGGCTATGGCCCAAGAATCAAACATTTAATAGAAGCCTCCCAGGTGATTCTTAAGCAACACCGTCAGAGAATCATTGGTTGCTTCGGTATCCCTCCCCAAACATGACTTCTGGGATGTTCACTGAGCTCTCTTGCACTTCTGTGGAATGGCTGCAAGCTCATTTCTTGGTTACTTCATCATTTGGGAATGCTATCTCCCCAGCTCGATCAGGAGGGTGCTGACACAGGCACCTGTATAGCCGTGGTGCCCAGACTACCAGAAACCAGGGAGCGCCATTTACCGAAATAAAAGGCCTTTGCTTCCTGCACTGGGAATATGGTCATCAGATAGCCACACTGCTCATTTCCAGTAAAGAGTCAGGAATTCTTGAACAACATATGAACCCAACAAGAGCCTGACAAGGTGCAGAGCTGAATGTGAGTAACACTTACAGACTTGGCTTCTGTGCTGTTATCAAGGTAGTCTTCCCTCACAGCTAGGGAGAGCGTTGCTTGGTCCAGCTGTTGAAATAAAAAGTGAAATAAGCCAGTCAGCGAAAGACAAAATACCATATGATCTCACCTATAAGTGGAATCTATTCAACAAAATAAACTAACAAACAAAACAAACCACAGGCATGGAAACATGGAGCAGACTGTAAGTGACCAGAGGGGAGGGGGAAGGAGGGCAATGGTGGAAAAGAGAAGGGACTAAACAAAGAACATGTATGAATGGCCCATGGACATGGATGAGAGTGGGAACTGACTGTGGGAGAGGGGGTGGGGTGGGATGGGTGGAGAGGGGTAAAGGGGGAAAAATTGAGACAACTGTAATAGAATAAACATGATGTAAAAAAAGAAAAAAGAAAAAACAACAATGTATTTTGCTTGCACTGTAAATTTTTACATACCATGTCAACAAGAGTCATGAGATCTGCATCCTAGTCATATTGAGCTTGCGTTACCATTACAAAAACAATTCACTACACTCAGAGCTACATGTAAATAGGCACTTCAGCAATGACAGATAGTATCAAATACCAGAGACATGCCTCTGCTTCCCCAATTCATGGGTTTCTAACGCTTTCCAGGTTCTATCAATACTACATAGCATCAAAGCTTTTTGAGTGGGAGTAGCTCTTAGAAATGATCCAGTTTCCCCCCTCATTTGATGGGTGGAGAGACAAAGCCAGAGGAGTGATGTGACTTTCCCACGGTAACGCGGCTGGGCAGAGCTCAGGGGAGAATCACTGTCTCCTGTCGCCCGATTAGCAGTCCTCTCACTGCAGTAATTTGCAAAATGTCAATCTGATTAATTGGAACTGATTAATGAGATTGTCCACTTTCCCACCCCTAAAATACTGTGTTGCATTGTTTTATTTGAAAGGAATCAGATGACGATTATGAGAAATCTTAGCAAATTTTAGAACCCTCTCTGGAAAGCTTAGGAGAGACGGTAAAAATACAAATAATAGACAACAAAATAACTAGAATTTTTATGGAAAAGTATAGCATCAATTTTGTGAATTAAAACTTTCAGCACTGTAAAGGAAGAAGATAGTTCTTTCAAAGAATGTGCTAGAACTGGACATCCACATGTGGAAAAAAATGAACCTCTACCCATAGTTCACACCTTGCACAAAAATTAATTCAAAATGGATCACAGGCCTAAATGTAAAACCTAAAAACTCTAAAATTTCTAGAATAAAACATAAGGGAAAATCTTGTGGCCTGAGGTTAGACAAAGAGTTCTTAGACATGACACCAAAATCGTAATTCATAAAAGAAAAGATAAACTGGACTTCATCAACACTGAAAACTTTTGCTCTGAGAAAGAGAATGAAAACACAAGCTACAGACAGGGAGAAAATATTTGAAAAATCACATACAGAATGGGGCAAAAGTAGGTTTAGAGTTGTTCATATGGAAAATAATACAAAAATTAATAAATAATACAAGAATAAACTGTTTTGCAAACTAACAATGGTAAACGTATTGTACTTTTGCCCCACCCTATAGATGACAAAGGATTTATATCCAGAATAGACAAAGGGCCTTCAAAACTCAACAACTCAATTTAAAAGTGGGCAAGAGATCTGAACGGACACTTTACCCATGAAGATATGCAGACAGAAAATAAGCACATGAACAGATGCTCAACATTACAGATGACTCAGCAATCCCACTCCTAGGTATTTACTGAAGAGAAATAAAAACGTACCCCCATACAAAAACCTATATGTAACTTTATCCATGATCGCCAAAGACTGGATACAACCCAAATTTTCTTCAACTGGTGAATGGATAAACAAACTGTGATACACAATGGACTACTACTTGCCCATAAAAAACAGTGCACTACTCTTACGTGCCGTAACAGGCAAATTTTTACCACATTCTGAAGAGACAAAGCTATAGGGACAGAGAACAAGGTTTGGGGCTGGGGAAACTGGCTGACTGCCAAGGGGCAACACAAGGTAATTTCGGGCGGTGATGGAACTATTCTGTTTCTTGATTATGGTGGTGATAACTCTGCATTTGTCAAAACTTAATAGACACATGCACGACGAAAACTGAATTTAACTGCATGTAAATTTAAAAATAAAAATTTTAAAAGATCTTACTCTAAACCTATCATCTTCTCTCTTGAATATCAACAACTACCTAAAGACTAAATAAAGTGGATCCCAACAGCAGATTTTCTCATTTAAATCTGATTCGCACATTAAAAAGTTAAATCAAAAAAATTGATAGCATCTTAATAAAAACTGGATCCCATGTTCTCATATCATTAGTTTATACAATGTTAGATTGCTTGGATCTATCTCTACTTTGTTATTCATATTAATATAATCTCAAATATTTTCTTTTTTAATACTTAAAATCTGTTTAGGTTCATTGTTTTCCATGAAAATCCCCTTCATACGCAACAAATTCTACAAAGGCCAAGTTAAGAGTTAGTGATGTTAAGAAAAACTCAAGGAAATATATTGCTTTTGTTTCAAGAGTAAAAAAGATGCGTTCATAACATCCATTTTGTCTGTGTTACTAAAATCCTCAAATTATTGTGTTCAATCTTCTCTAATTGGCCCAAAACCCCAAGTCACAAGCCAGCCTGGCTTCATCATAACACAATTCCCAATCTACCACCATTTCTTCCAAAAATTAAGTAAGCCAAGACCACAAAGCACAATATTATGATTAAGATGCTTTGGCTTTCAATTATATTTGGAACACTTGGAGAATCTTTTGATCTTCAGTCTCACAGGAAGGGAAGCTGTGTAGACAATATTAAGAAAGCCAAAGCTTCCCACTGATGAAATGAAGTTTAATCCACTTATTATAAAAGTCTCAATGATTCAAATGAAGTTACCAGACTTTTTTAAACCTTCAGATTGTTATGGTTTCTAGGGAACATTTTAAATACACCAAACAGATTGAATAAGGTCTGTCAACTAAATCTCATTAGAAACACACAAAGTCTTGAGGCAAAAGGCTTTCTCAAGAGGCCAACATTAGGACACTGTGTTATTTGAGGTTTTTTTAATCCTTGCATCTGAATATTGCAAGCTGAAAATAAAATATGTGTTTAGCAACCCAACACATTGAACTGAAATAAGAATTTTTTTCTCCAACTGAAATAAACCTCAGGTTAGGAAACAAAGTAGTAATACAAAAAGAAACATCTGACACATTATGATATAGGAAGAGGAAAGGCAAAGAAATTAGAGGAACTCCATTTCCAAAAGAGCCCCTCCTTGTCATCCTTATGGATTTCGCTATGAGTCACACAAATACAGGTCACTGAGTGACGATGACTTTAAGTCACTGTTTCAGTAACACATATATTCAAGTCTTTTACTGTCCCTTAAATCCTCAGTTATCTCTTTACATAAAATAAACCCGAACACATGTAACAAGATATGGTTTCGGGCACTGGCTTCTGTCGTTTCCTGTATGTTTCTATTTAAGCCTATGACAAATCCTACACCATCTCGCCACAGCGGGGGTGGAAAGGAAGTCTAGGTACACTGAAGGAGGACAGTTTGAGGTAAGAGAGACTTCTTGTAGAGCAAAAAGAGGATCTCCTAGGCAGCCAAAGAAGTTCAAGTTTCTCCTGAGCAGAGGGACCAGTCAATGTCCCTAGAAAGTGGCAGCATCTGAAAGTGAGTGAGAGGCCCAGGCCCCAGTGGCAGGAAAGCACACGTGAAGGGGCAACAAAGGCTGGGACAGTGGGTTACTTTTCAGACACAGGTAACTGATGACTGGAGGGCCTCCTAGTCCCCCAGAGGAAGGCTGAGAAATGGGGCACCCAGGAGGCAGAGGCATGCCAAGGCTGGCTCAACTTCCCACTAAAAGGTGGGTGGGAGCTCAGAGTCCGTGATGACTGAACAAACAAGGCGACCGAGTCCTCGCTATACCTTCAAGATGTGTTCATTGGAGGCCTTGTCATCAGGGGACACATACAAACGGATGAATACAGAATTGCTGTATTGACCACGAAACGTCGCGAGTGTGTGCAGAAGGCTGAACTTCCTCTCTGACCAAACTCCTTCAGGACCGATGTTAGACTCGAGCACAGGCCAGCGAAAAGGCGAGTGCCGCAGGATGTGTAGCAATGGCTTGGCATCTGCTTTTTCAATCGCTTCTGAAAGGGAGCACATATGAAGGGAGAATTAGAATGGCAAACTGGATCACCAAACTAGAATGTGAGAGTATCTTCTCAAGAGAAAACCCTGTAAGACCCCAACTTAACATTTCAGCTGTTACGGAGATGTGCAGTGGACTGAGGATAAACAGGGACAGAGCCTCCTATGAGTCACACCGCAATGTAACTGTCTAAAGCCGGTGTTCTCGCCAGAAGAGCTAAGTAGGGAACCTGCTGGATGTTCCCTACGATAAAAGATGGGCTAACTACATTGACCCCAGGCGACAAGCGATGTTAAGCTGGTAATACTCTGCAAGACTAAGGAACAACCCCAGCTAAAGGAAACTGCTCAATAAAACCAATCACTCCCCAATAAAAGTGAATTAATGCTTCAGATTCTTTCATCATTTTTTACTGCCCTCTTCTAGCTAACAAAACAACACCCCAGAGCCTACACAAGTTAACACAGAGGCGCTGTCTTCTTCCTCCAATGGCCTTGAGAATGCAGACCAGGTAAAAGGACAAGTGTCTCTTAACTCAAATCAGACCCAAGATACTGAAACACGCCTAAGACACCCACCAAAAGTGACTATTGGGCTGGTGGAGAAGCGGAGCCTGGCCTGCCTGGAAATCTGGATTTCTTTAGACCCCGTAGGTCATTAGGGGATGTAGTAACACTCCCAAGTGTCCTCACTCCCTCCCAGGCTCCTTCTTGGACCGCACCTGGCTTCTGGATTCTGGTTTCTGCACCACATACAGTGGGGTTTGCCCTTCTGATCCGACCCAATTTTCTCATGGAATAACTGACACCCAAAAGAAGCTGAGCCGTAGAAATAGAACTATTTTCTCCACCACGCCAGCGAGAGAACATTAAGACAGGGCCAGTCAAAAGCCAGTTTTTGAGAGCTGTTCCTTTCCTTAAACAAAACCTTCAAACATTAATAGAATTCTTAGTTCTTGTTTTCCTTAAACAATATCTTTAAACATGAAAAGAAATCCGAATAAGGGTGGTGGATATTTTATTTCTTTTTCTTTATTACTCACTCTCATTCATGCAAGATGAATAAAGGATTTTGGCTTTCTGAATGGCTTCGGTGTCCCGCCTTCTACTGATCGATTTCTCCAGAAGTGCTAGGAAGGTTAAGAAAGGATTCATTAGTATCCACCGGCATGTGGTGCTGAGTTGAAGGGCATTTGATAATCACAGTCTCAGCCTCCAGAAAATTAAATGTAAAGACAGGCAACCCTAGAAAAGATACATCTATAAAGATAATGCAGACAGCAGAACCGATTCCAAGTTGAAGTTCAAATAAAAACAATTTAACATTCTTTTCTCAAGGGTTCTCCTAACTCAAAGAAACCGAAAGTTCAATTTCCAACTGAGACTGGACCTTCTGCAGGGGTTAATGTTTTCTGCCACCTACACAAAAGGAAACAGAATTCATTTATTCAAGAACCAAAAATAACTGAATTCTGTTCCTTGTTTCTGCACCGAGTAATAGTCTCAACGGAGGCAATTTCATCAGGGTCGGGTTTCTCAGGATTTCTTCACAGCCCAGCCTCTCAGGAAGGTCACCTGGAAGAAATTTCCTATTAGAAGTTTTATTCAATGTTGTATAAACATGCTGTGGACATGGAAGGAGTAGTTTAGACAGGAAATGGAGAGGCGAGGCTGGAAAGCCTACCCAAATTGCCTGAAAACTTACCATTTAAACATTCAAAGTCCTGACCATTTAAATGAGGCCATGTGTACAAAATGGTCGCCAGCATAGACATAAGCCTGCCGAGAAAATGGTTTCTATTTATAAAAATCACTGATGCTATTGTTTCAAGGTAGAAAATGACAGCTGCCACCACTTCATTAAATAAGGAAAGAGGAAAGCCAAAACTTAATAAAAACCACCCTCCCCACAAAAGAACACTTTGGTTATACTTGAGAGTACTAATTCACCAACATGAGGACAAGACCAAGTGTCCCTATGCAGCACTGTGGCACTGCCTCCGTCAGGCTATGTCTCTTGTTGTCAAGGCATTTGGGGTTATTTCTGAAATAACCTAGCAGCCTCCAAATGGCGATACAACAGATGCTCCTACAGTACTTTGAATAGCGTCAAAACACAATGTACAGTGCTAATCAAATTAAGAAATAATTACATAGTCTCTGAAGAGGAATCAACTTCTAAACTGTAAGTTCTATATTTCAAAAAATAAAATGCAATCCAGACCTCCTGTCTAGCTTTTTTAGGCACCTGTACATCCAACACGTCCATGTAATTACATAGATTCAAATAAAATAGAGTTGGATGTGAGCATTCTCTATTATTTAAACTTGTATAGTGCTTCTTTCATGTGTATGACACAGAAATAAAAGCAGGATAACTAGCTCCAAGGATAAAGAATGGAGTATTTTTTTTAATAAACAGAAAGCTCTATAACTATACCCACATATATTTCTATTCAAATCAGATCACACGCCTTTCCGCCATATTGCTTCCACAGCCAGTGGTTGGATTGTTGGGGAGACACACCTGGAAGTAAATAATCCAAATTTCATTTCGAGATGTGATATTATTCCAGTGCCATCAACATTCCACAGGCTGCAAACATGAAGGCCCTGAGGACCAAAAACAAGCCATGGCAGCAAAACAACTCGTATTAAATATCTACATGCGTGAGATATTCTGTATCACATGGAGGAAAAAAGAGGACCATGTAATATGCTAAGTCGGGTAATCTCAAAATGCTAACCATGCTAAATATCAACAATTTGTACATATCAAAATTCTGGTTTCTGTACCAGAATTTGGCTTTTAAAAGAAATTCAGCCACCACGGGTTACTTGTCTCGCCCTTTCCCTTGTCTTCTTTTTCTCTTCATCCCCAAGCAGGCAGGAGAGCACTGATATGTAGACAGTGGTGTGGCTATCAGCTGGCAGCATCCACTTTACGTACCTCTGTATTTGAATTAGTGGAAACAGAAATAAAATCTAGTGTAGGGAGTCATTAATGAACAGAAAACAAAGCCTGCCTATCAAAGGCAATTACTCAGGTTATTAAAATATCCCTAAAGCAAAGAGACGGGCTCACAGGTCACCCACACAAGGGCATTCCTACCATAATCTGTGTTGTTTCATGGAAGATTTCTCATTCTTCTCTCCACCCCACATCCAGGTAGTCCCCACCATGTTACAACAGAAAGGAAAACTCCAGTTTATAAAAACCTGTGGTGCAGAAATCTCAGACTTTAAAACTGATTTCAAAGTGCTTCTGGACATCAAGTTTGAACATTACATATATTATGTAAGTGTTTTTTCCCATTCTTCCCAAACACAATTTTTTAAAGGCAACATATTGCCATGTCAAAGGGATGAGCTTTCAAATTGCACAGACAGGGGCTTCAGTTGCAGCTTGCTGGTACTTTCTAGCTGAAACCTGAGCAAGTTTATTTAATCTAATCCTCAGTTTCTTCATCTGTAAGTCTGAATAACAACAATGCCTACCTCCCAGAGTGGTGGTGAGGATCAAACATTATAATGCACAGAAAGTCCCAATTTCAATGCCTGGACACATGATAAGTGATCTATCAATGGTGGCTTAAAGAGGATTACAGGCTGAGTCAGCCATACCCAAAACTGTCACATAAGCTTATTTCTAGAGCTTCCTCCATAAATGGTTTTTCCTCTGCCTTTCTTAGGATATTGTAGCCCAAGGCCTTACGCTAACCCAAGACACGGACACTCCACATGTAGGATGACTCCACAAACCGGATGTGCCCTCGCCACCCTACAAAGTCCCACACTCTCAACACTTCCTCTGCTTTCACAACAGAGTCAATGCTCCATGAAGAGAGATTCTTGCAGTCAGGGTTAACCTCTGAGAATACTCTGTTCCTCCTGGAAACAAGGCATTTTCTTTTCTTATGTAAACTTTTTTCAATGAAATTACAGAAAAGTACACTGATCATAATTTGCAGGACTTTCACAAAGTAAACACACCCACATAACCAACATTATGACCAGAATCCCAGAAGCCCCTTGGGCTCCCTTCTAGTCACTAACTGCAATCAAGACAACCAACATCCTCTTTTGTGAAGTGTTTACTCAAGTCTATTTCCCATATTTCTATTGAGTAATCTACCTTTCATTGATTTTGTAGAAGTTCTTTACATACAAGGTCTGTCCAGAAGGTATCCAGCCACGTAACATGAAAAATAGAGATATTTATTGAAGAAGATACAAGGTACAAAAACATTGTACATAGGACAATGACGCCTCAGTCTCCTTCAAAGGAGGCACCTTGGGACCTCACACAGTTCTCCCAACTGCCATCAGCTGCCCCCTCATATTTTCCCGAATCTCACTGATGGTCTGAAATCTCTTCCCTTTCAAAGGTGATTTTAGCTTTGGGAAAAGCTAGAAGTTGCAGGGCACCAAATCTGGGTTGTAGGGGGTGAAGTCACCTGGGTGATTTCATGTTTCACCAAAATACTCTGCACGAGACGTGATGCCTGAGTGAACGTGTTGTGGTGATGAAGCTGCCAATCACCAGCTGTCCACAGTTGCAGCCTCCTCAATCATCTGAATAGTTTCCACTGAGGAATGTTTAAGCTTCACACAAAATCTGACACAGATTCATTGCTCTACTTGCTCAGTCATTTTGAATGTGATGGCCACACAGTACACAAGCTCCCTCAACAGCATCTACCATCCTCACTGACTAGTGCAGTGAAGGCGTCATTGTTCACACATGTGCATTCCAGTCCACTCTCCTTGGCTGCCAGGTTACACCGATGTCATGCAGACCGTTCTCATTATATTAACAATGGCTGGACTTTTTCTGGTAGACCTCATATTCTACATACAAGTCCTTTTTTGAATATTTGTATTGCGCCTCCCATTCCATAGACTTCATTTTCTAAATGCTATCATGTGATGACCTATAATTCTTTATTTTAATGTAGCCCAATTTGCCCATTTATTTTCCTTCTATGATTAGCACATTTTGTGTCCCATTTAAGAAATCCTTGCCTGCCCTAAGGTCACGAAGACATTCTCTTACGTTTCCCCCTAGAACCCTTACTTTTTTACATTTAGATCTACAGTCCATGTAAAATTTGTTTTTTCCTACAGTGTGAACAGCCATGCCTTTGTAGCACAAGCCTGGCCGCACAGGGGTGACTCATGTGAGAATTTTCATAAAGAAGGTACTTTTGGTCACTGGGCCTCCAATATTATCACCAAAAATACTTTTGGTGCATAAAATTGGCATTAAGAATGGCTATTTTCAATTAGATTGAGTACTGTTTGGGGCAGGGGCTGGCTCACATTCATCTTTGAACACCCAGAGCCTAATGCTTGGCATGGTTGATGCTCAATGCACATTTGCTGAGTTGAATTCCTTACAAGAGAGTTTTTCATCACACTGAAAAGAACTGTGAGAAGTTGGACTGACTTATTATTTCTTTTTATAATCATCAATGTCTTGATTATGCTAACATCCATAATCTCCATTTCTCACATTTCAGTCCCTATATCATACAATGAAATCCAAGACACCATCTATTTTCATGAACAACAGTTTTTAAGATACCGAACTTTCATTTCACCGATGGTCTCAGCTTAATCATCCACTTCTACTCACTGCTAGGCTGGGAGCAGGGGATTCTTAGTATGTGACTTCCTTAAGCGCAGAAGCCAGACAGGACTATCAATTCTACTCACTCAATTCACTTCTCCTGCTTAGACAGGCCCTTTATTTAGAGCTCTGGAATAGGAACAGAAAATTCTCAAGGAAGAAAAATGAGACTCCTGTGGACTTGGCACTCCCCTGATAAGTCAAGAGCTCAAACAGACATTTGAAGTTTCTACAATATTTAGGGCCTTCCCGCTACTACTGCTTTCAAAAACTCCACATGCACGTTGCTCTGGCCAGTGTGGCTCAGTTTGTTAGCACATCGTCCCATAACAGAAAGACTGCGGGTCTGATCCCTGGTCAGGGCACATACCCACGTTGCAAGCTTGGTCTGCGGTCCGGGCACATACAAGAGGCAGCCAATTGATGCATGTCTCTTGCATCAATGTTCCTTCCTCTGTCAAATCAATGAAAAAATGTCCTCAGATGAGGATTTAAAAA